TAAAACAGTTCCCACGTCCCACTGATTAATTCAGTGCTCTATCCACTGACTTCAAGAGATCTTGTACTCAACTCAAGTAGCGGATAATTTATACGGACTCGAAATGGAATAAAGACGGTGTTTATGTGTTTTTAGTGAAGTGGGGACCGTTTTATTTGTCGTTTATTCATGGGTTGTAACATTTGTTTTTGGTTAGCAACTTAACGCGGATTATCTGAAGATCAAGAACATACCGGGGTGTACAACCTGATACCACAAACTATAATAACAGTGAGATCTCAGCTAACACTTGGTGTGAAAGTTAGTTAATACCAAACCACTTATTTCATAACAAAAATATAAATTGTAATACTGTTCTGCATTTCACATGACAAAATGGTATTGTTTTGAACGTGTGTTAACGTTATATCCTTATAAAACCCACTGCTATCTGAAATGAATTTATGCAAAAGCCACACTATTTTATCTGCACTTTATTCGATGTAAACCATCTTTCTCTGATCATTCTGTGCAGTCATCTATTTTATAACATTCGACCAGGTACAAGATCTTTTACTTTTTCTCGTGTGTGTTGGTTTCATTCTCGTTGTTACCTGTGTCATCAATATGAAGCACTATTTCCGATACACAATTAATGTGATATACAGTTTGATATTCGGCTAGGTGCAAGGCAGTTTGCGTGTGAAGAAAAGAAAACTTTTAAATGTGCTGGTTTCATCCTTTTGGAGAAACTTATGTCACCAAAAATAAACATGTACATGTACACTCAAGATAATATGTACATTTAATACGATTTTACAACCGGTTCAGAAATTTTTTTGTGAAACAAAATTTTTGTATTTTCACTGCTTGTGGTTAACTTGTGTCAGCAATATTAAATATATATTACCTTTCAATTCATGCCTCAAATCCACCCACTCCCGATACACAATTAAACGATGTATTTTATGATATTCGACCCTAAACTAGGATCATAAAGAAAATAACAATAGAAATATGTAATAATAAAACACACCCTAAAGATTCTAGTCGCTTGAATAAACAAAAATTCTTATATTTTATATTTTTACTGTTGTTCTATGGAAGGAAATATGTAGGGAATTCTTTAACTGTTTCACTTGAAAGTAAATAAGTAAGATTATTAAATATTTCTATAGATAATATTGCTACTGGAGCAATCTCAAGGCTGGAAGAAAACGATCAAATATTCCCTACTTAGTTTGGTTTTATAGAGTTTTGATTTGTGAGTTCTACCTTATGTAAAATTTTGAGAGAATGATATCGTTTCATGATAAGATTCAGTCGATTGAATGAGAAGTAAAGAGCCATATAATTAAAAAAGGACATCAATCCAGGTGATCCTTTCTACCATCTAAATAATTTTTCCCTCTTTGTCTTTTTGACTCTAAATCGTATTTGGATTTTGTTAAAAGTTGTTCTTCGCTTGAAGAGGAAGCTCTGTGATTTTCCACTGTATGATTGAAATAGGATTTCTCTTCTGGAGGAAAAGCTCGGTGATTTTTCACTGACTAAGTAGGAAGATCCTTGATGGACGAAAAAATCGTCGGATTTTCCATGGGATTAAGAAGATCAACTAAATAAACCGAACCAGTGATCATATGAAAATATCGTGATATTGTCCATTGTCATTGTCGAACACACATCGGCCACTCGCATTACTATTTTTTGTTCAACAAGGAGCTTTTTCATGTGTAGTTCCTTTCCTCAAGAAATTGCATTTACCTTCTTCACAAATCTTGTAATCGGTGGAAATTTTATCGCCAAAACTACTTCAAAATTGTTTCAGAAAAGATTATAAGATTATCAAAGCTTTAAGAAAATATTTATTTTCTGATCTGCGCAACGGGTAGTTTGACCTTAACAGAGTTATGTACCTTTGGTTCTCAGCACGATGTCTTTGATGGATTTGAGCGGAATAGGTTTATAAAATGATAAGGCTGGGCTCTATCATTTTTATGGTAAAAATAAAGATTAAATAAAAATACTAAAAGATTAAACAGATAAAAAATATATCAATAATAAAACTTGATTCAATGGACAATAAGAGCTGAAGATGGACGTAAATATTTACGGTTTTATTCTCGACGCTGTATGAGGCCCATCATAGAAACCTTTAGGTTTTTGATCAAAGCATTTGTTCGCAATTTCACTTTTATGCAGAATGACCAAGTCCCTCTGCCTAAAAGAAAACCCTGCTGACATAATATTACTGGGCATTGGCGGTAAATATTTACAGACTGATCAGTTGCATTATTTGGTCAAACTCTTCAGCCAATTTCAGCCCTAGTCAGTTACTTCGTATCTTTTTACTTTTTGACAGTAGAAAATAAAATTGATGGAGTTTTACGTCCTACATTTAACAGTAGAGATGTCTGTTTATTACTATTTAACCATCTTGAAAAAAATTAAGAGGATTCCCTGGTATTCACGAGGGGCACTACTAACCCCAATTTGGAATCATACATTTACAGGGCACCTTGGGACTAACTAGCAACACATGCACACAAGAGATTTCAAAAGCCAACACGGGGTGCACTCAGACAGACAGACAGACGAGGTGCATTAAAAGAAATCAGAACAATTACTTATGGGATTCGAACCTCCAACACATAACCACTCAAAGGATTAACCGTTGTCTTGTTACTCCATCTGTGGCCTAATGTTATATTAAAGTTTTGAGTGAGTCGTGGTTTTACCTAATTACAGACTTAATGAATCTCATCTTCCGTCTTTTTCAAACAAATTCAGGCGTGTAAAATATTTTCTGCTTCGTTTCTGATGGAGAGAGAAGGCGAGAAAAAGTAAATTATTCTTAAGTCGATACACTTATAATCAGGGGGCTCACAGATTGCGAACTGGGGCGAACACGACGGGAAATACTAAATTCTCCACATGAAAACGATAAAAGCTGTCCCCAAATCGCAGTGATTAGTGGGGAGAGGCCATTATTAAAGACAGCGCCCCCTACTGATTCAATTGTCCTCTCTGTCACTTCATTAAAATCTCCATCAGCTTATGCTAACATGGCATTTGAAAGGAAATGACGTAATGCAAGGTTCGGTCTAACGCCCCAGATATAAATTGATTGGGCAGTCATTTTAAGAATATTATATTGAAATAACATTGCGGAAACAATTCGTGATGACATCTGGTGACCATTTTACTATTTATATGTAGCAATAATTCATATTTAAAGGTTTCGTTAATCAAGAAATTAAATAGATTTTCAGAATTGTCACCTACTGTATGTATGAATTTTGGTGATTTTGATTGATCAATTCATTATTCAAATAGGGGAAGAACTAGAAATGTTTCAAATTGTAAGTAAAATGTTGCTAATAGCATTAGTTGCCAAATCACTTAATAAATATTCCGAAAGACTAGAATCAAAATTAAAGAAGACTTATACTTTAAGCTCTTTTGAGCCAGGAATAAAGAACAATTTATTGTTATGAGTAATGATAAGCAGCATATAGAATAATTGGATGTCAAAAGACACATTTATAGCAAATTTATGTCCATCCATTTTATTTTCTTTGCGGATTATTTTTATTTTCAATAATAATCTACATTCATTACTGAAGTTTCACAGTGTCACATCTGATATTTTCAAGAGTCGAGAAGTCCTGCTGATGATCTGATTAGTCGCGATTATTAGGTCTCTTCCAAATGCATGATGAGGTATTTAAGTGATAATCTCGACTATCTGTAAGCATTAAAGTGAAAGTTGAATGTGTCAACTGTGAAATCCGCAGGGGTCAAGTTAAAATTATTCTAAGGAATTATTTCAATTTGTTCAAGAGCTGATTGTGTAAGAAGAGTGTTTAGAGTTATAATTGTGAAACTGAAAACAGATAACATGAACAGATTGGGCTGCTAATTAAATTGTGCATCATCAGCCGACCTTGTCATGAGGGATGTTCAAAAACTCAAATATTGACTTTTTTAGCGGTACATTTGTATGAATGTTCATCTTCAATTGAAATATACGTTGATAAATTGATAAGGGATACTAGAAATCAGTTCACCATCTACGATTTCACTACTTCGACGTATCGTACAAAAGCGTTTTTGTATCATTCATTAAATACTACTACTAATACTAAGAATAATATTCTATAAGGGTAAAAAATTACGCTCAAAAGCCTTTCTTGCATTTCACCCAACATCCTATAGCCTACATACAAACAAAATTTATCAACTAAATGGTTGAAAACTGGTCTATACTATTCAGCACTGCAATCCAAATGATAAGCATAAGGCAATGTTTATGAAGCAACGAACATATAAGTATTGTGGTGTAAGGGAGATAATTCAAGATCAGTACAATAAACCCGGACAACACTTATCTGTAAATAGACCAGGATTTCTCGAGCAGATAAACTGAGTTGCAAATTTTCATGTCTGAATTGCACTGACAGATTCGTATAATCCGTTATTTTGCCACTTTGAAGCGCTGATATACAACCGCCATCAGTTTAGAAACTCTGTCAATTATGGTAAAACTGATTGTTTTATTTATGAAGGATTTGCATGCGGGTGGATGAAATACTGCGTTATCGCGATTACATCACAGGAAAGGCAGGAAGTGGTATAAAGCGAGCGGGTGAGACAGTGGTTCTTTGTCCGAGAGCACGATAAAAATTATTTCAATTATCAGTGTTGCTTTTTGGCCACATTTTTCTGCGCTTTCCTCCAATTGCCAATAATATTTTGTCTCTTTAAGACACAGGCCGAGGTGATTTCTTCGCCTTATTTTTTTACTTAACATTGGTGTAGATCAGAGAGTTGACATGTGAAAGCTTCTCGTTGTACGGATACGACAATAATCCGTTACGCCGCATGGAGCAGTGGCAGCCTTCTTTCTTTTCGTGGTAACATTTCTTTTTTTACATTACAAGGCCGTTTCAACTCTATCATGACATGAAATGTGTGCTCATATCGATTGCATCTTCTGACTCAAATCTATGATTCACATAAAGTAAGATATTTTTTATTCATGTATGATGGATAAAAAAGGCAAGAGATACCGTTATAGAAGCAAATTATATCCCATTTTGTACATTGATAGAATATACTTATTATGATTAATATCACCACAACTTGGATTCAACGACACTGTCTGTTAGAAACCATTACAAATTATGCATAATTAACAAGGCACTATAGGCCAATCTTGTACGTCTTGTTAAAACCGAGTAGAAGTGTACAGATATCTAGCGGCCAGTCTTTCATCATAATCATTGCCTTGATCACGGCACCAGACACAGGACAATAACGCTGATAGTAACAACAGTATTCCTGCCAGCAATGAAAGTATATAGCACCATCCGTTGTCGCCACCCGTCTTTGGGCTCTCTTCACTAATATATACTATAACACCTACTAAAGCCAGGAAACCTGTAACATAATGTGATTTTAGTTATTTATGGTGTCCCGGTCCCGTCAATTAACACATTTTAATCCGTAACACGTTTCATAAAATACCGTACCATAAATATCAAGCCAAACGTTCCCCAAAATCCCTGGACAACTTAATAACAAAAGATATTCCGATTGTTCTGTTTTCAAAATGGCGATGCATCGATTTATAAAGTGTATAAATTTTCACATCTTGAAATAAGTCATTTTCTACATTTGATGTTTGAAATGCATTTTTCTATGGATCCCTGTACAGAAGACATGAACATACCTGCAGGTAGAGTAAATAAAAAGAAGGCAGTATGAGACAGATTTTTTCTCATCTGTCCACGTCTTCTATTGACCATCTGTATAATACTAGTAATAAAACCCAACACACCAAATATTACAGCAACTGTTTGGATCCATGCAGTGAAGCGTAATTGTCCATTTAGCCAGGTTTCAACTGAAATTAATATTGAACCCCCTAGTTAACTCTTTACATAGTGCAATAAAGCATCAAATAAAGCAAATTGATATGACACATGAAGATTGTCGTAAGTATATACATATATACCGTTTCAACGTGTGTGGGTTTTCTTTGCGTTGGTATGTGTATCAGGAACACGTGCACCATTCCAATATTCTGCCGAACGTTTGTTGTTCTGCAAGTCTAGTCTAGTTATATCAATATCGAAAATATCATTTGTTTGGAACAATTTATATCAGTGTCCTTGATAAATTTAGAAGGACTGTTTTACGTAAATTTATTTTAACAAAACGTACCTCTATGACCGTACCATGCATTAACACATCTACCATATTTACAATGAATGCTATGAAAGAAACCCACAGCCCAGTAATGAGTCTTTAGGTCGATGATATACCAATAAGGTAAGAAAAGTCCCAACAGTTGTAGAACCAAACCAACACCAGTAATAGCTACCACACATGGAAATAACACCCTTTCCGTCTCTATTCTTAATCCTGTCATCATTTACTCTTCAACTGTAATATATGACAGGGCAAATTGGTCTTTTAACATTAGAATCCTATGGGCAATGAATGATCTTCGGAATATTAACTTTATAATATTAATATTATTTTTAATCGTTAGAAATTTCAGTTAATTCTTCAAGTACCTGAGTGAAACAAGGATTACATGAACGTACTGAAAATTCCATGGATTTTATGTAATCACTGGTTAGAGAGATTTATTGTAGGATATATACTCAGACTCCATGCATTCATAAAGTATAAAGGATTTACACCGAAAATAAATTGTTTATCAAAGTACCAGAATTCATCATCTTGTCTTTAAATTGAATTGATATTCATCGTGTGGAAAATTTAATATGGTTCAAGGGAAGTAACAAAATCAAAATATTGTTGAATTCAGACTACACTAAAGTCGATGAGGTACCAATTTGCCCCCGAGTATGTATACCCAAAGATTTTGGTTTCATGGTGATTTTGTACGATGAGGTTAAAAAACCCACAGAAAATAGGTTTTCTTTATCTTGAGTTAAATGTAACACTTACGCTAAATGTAACACTTTAGCTTAATCCAAGCGACCATCTTGCTGACTCAGAATAGACTTTATCGTTGTTGCATAGCTCGGCTCATTATCTTATTCAACAGCACCATATTGGGAATCCACGACAAGGTCTACTATGGACCTGAGTGCAGGGTGACAAATTATCCAAATAACTTACTTAGCAAGCTACTCAGATAGTAATAGAATAAGCTACTACAACATTTAGCAAAAGATTATTTATAATTGCTCGTACTTTTGCTTTTTTCTAAGAGCTTTATAAGCTCGTAGTACAGTTTATTTATTATAAAACTCAAATTTCATGAATAATATAGTATCAACAAAAAAGAACCCGAGAAAAGGATCACCAGGGTCTCTGACTTAAATTAAAGATTTTAATTCAGACTTATGTTTATAGTTACTGTGCTTGATATGTTCATGTAAATGTCAATGTACCGAATTCATAAAACCTAGCAATTTCTTTATTTGGGCTTTTCCTTACTTTTGTTTTCATAATCCAAAGAATTTGCTTCCGTGAAAACAAATGCTAGACCCTCCATATAAATAAACTATGTCTTTATCTAAGTGGAAGAAGCATTTGTTGTCAGATTTGCAAGCCTCTATCTAGCAAGTTGACGTTCAAGTTTTGATTGTTATCGCCGTTTTCATCTCAGTGAACATCCTATGGTGTAAAGAGCGTGACTTTTTCTTTCAAGTGAATAATGTATGGCTGGATGACAACTGTCTACCCGAAAATACCGAATAGAGTTGTGGTTATCCCAGTCCAGTACAACGCAACATCATTGTTGTATCTGTCTGTTGCAGATTTTTTGAGCATTTGTTTTCATTGTCCTGGTTGCAGTTATCTGATTCCCATATAGTATCTCTTTTCTCTCAAGAAAGTACAAGAAATTCTTGAGTGATGTTTATCATAGCTGCATAATGCTGTCCATAGCTCCATGAATAGGTTTGAGGAGGGCATATGCAGCATTATAGAAACTCAAATGCATTACTTAGCAACGTTTACTCTCATATGGGAAGTGCTTTAAGCTTTTGCTCAGATAGCAATAGAACAAGCTACAACATGTAGCATAAGATTATTTATACAATATTTAGTAGTTGCTTTCATTTCTGCTTTATTCTAACAGCTTCACCTTATAAGCTCCTGCTACGTTTTATGGTTTGGCCCAATGTGTCGTCTCACACGGCGTGTCAACATCTTAACTTTAAAAGCTATCGTATGTGTCTGTTACTTTTAAGCGGACTAAGTAAATGTAATAATTGTGTGGGGACGGAAGGTACAGTACGCTAACCAACGTGGTTGATGTATATATGCATAGTGAATGATACAAAATATCATTTGTTACTCACCTGGCGACTTAAAGGAAAATCACAATCTCGTGTATAATATATCATCTGAAGAAAATTACTCCTATATTTGTCACAAGAAAATTAATAGCACACGCGAATATATCAACCAGATGTTATTAAGAAGACTGGAGTGAAACTGTGAGATTTAAATCTGATTGGAATAAACAATAATAATATGATCTATCCAAAAACTAGAAAAACTAAATCACAAATATTCAAACTGGAAAAAAGAACACCAACACATGTTGACTAATGACAAGTTATTTCTAATCACGTGATGTGTAGCTTCAAGGCATACATCTATCATGTAGGTGATATTAACGCCGAGGTAAACAATTCATTTTCAAAATTAATGTTACATTTTTGTAAGGTACCCTATAGTTTTTCTTCTCTTTAACCTTATAAAAGAAATGCTGATTCCAAATGGGTCTGAGTTCTCGACTTTACTATACGAGGTTTAAATTTGTTACAGAATGAAACGAAACTACGTATAGCGGTAAAAGAAATTAATAAACAAGATTTAAAAACTCTTAAAGTTTTAGGCTTTTTTCTGATTATAGTAACGTTTCAGATATCAGAAGAGTTTAGTGGCCGAACACCACATTTTAATGAAAATTTGTATTGGAGAATTTCATTGATTTTTTTAAATTCAAAATAGCCCCCATCCTCGATAGTCCGAAAACAATTTCTGTCATAACTTTGCTTGTAGGGCACCAATAGACAGACGTTTGGTGTCAAAATATATGTTTTCGGGGTCAACGGATTATGTTTATTAGTGCCCTAAAAGAGAAGTTATGGCAGAAATAGTATTCGAATAACAGATGACGGCCATATTTATTTTAGTCCATGAAAAAATACCATAGTGTGCCAACATAGTGGAATTATGTTCAGAAGGGCTATCCGAAGCAGAAAAAAACAATAAACCATTGTAGGTACTCCGCAGCATACTTTTGTGCTCTGCCACTGGACTATTATAGATAATGTAAAACAAGCACTTGAAATAGATATTCTGCAATCGTATCATATAACGTTATACGATATGGTCATTTACAGTTTGTTGAGTGCTATCGGTTTCATTGATTGGACAAAATGACTATTTATTGCTTTGTTCTAAGAAACCCCAAAGCAATCAGTTTTTTAGCTCCAGTAACAAGGTTCTCAAAAGCCTTCTACAGATCCACTGTTTTAGTTTAAGAAACAACAACTCAGATGTGGTAATTGTACTTTATGTCATATCATAAACATACTAAAACGATAATAAAGAACAAAAACATGTTGCAAACAATACTATAATGTTACATAGGAATAAATAATTTAATCAAGCGAATTTTGCTTGAAATGCGATAAGCGAACTAAAATGTCATGGGCGTAAGCATAGGTTAAGTTCTTAAAATAAAAAAAAGTCAGAAAATACAGAAATATCTTCACTATATAATAAATAAAAATTTATATAAAACGGGAAATTTTAATATTTTGTCTATCATGAATTGTCGTCAATACAGTTATAGTCCGAAATGACAAAGTGAAGTTTATTAGTACTAGCCTACACCGTGCATGGTTAATAAGTGACATCCATTAAAGTGATACTACGTCTTATAATGAACATACAATTTAAGTTCTCAAGAATGGTCAATATGCGTATATATTCATCAGTGAACATACCTGGTGTCATAAATTTACAAAATCTGGAAAATTTGAAAATTCATAAAACTAAGTAATTATTGAAAAATGCCTAATCTTAAAATTAAGCGTTTTTCAATAGTTAATTGCATATTTATGGATAATTACAAAGATTTTGGATTTATCGGATTATATAAGGATCCTGTTATGTTATTTATGACACCAGGTATATCTACTTATGAATGTATGCTCTGATTGGCCAAGTTTAAAATTCTTAAATTTTATGTTCATTCTAAGACGTAGAATTCCTTTAATTATTGTAATGAAAACAGCCAAACATGTCACTGTACTATTTTGGAGTATTGTTTTTAGCATAAAATGCATATACACCTTCATGACCTTCGACATTCTGATGTTACAACAGTGTATCTGTAAATTCACAGTGAAAAACAGAGTAACAAGGGCTGAATTTATTCAGTGTAATAAAAAACGCAATACAGTAGTATATAAGCACTTTTCTCAAAATTAAAAAAGAAACAATTGTTAATTCTGAGATGCAATACTGAAAAGACTTATCATAGATTTCGCTACGGTCATTAGTCCTGCACCAGCTACAACTGCATTAGCAGTCAAAAACCCAACTCCCATTTCCATAATTCCACCAACCGTTGATAATACTGCCCCATTAAACGTGTCTACAACTACAGAATTATCTGTTGCAACTTTAACATCAAACATGTCTTCAGAAGAAGTTGTTTCGGTTTTCTTCAATTCTCTCTCCATTCTTTGTTTCTCTTCTTTTATTTTCCTTTTCTCCTCCTTACTACATCTCTCACCCTCTTTTATCTTCAAGCCTTCCAATTCCTCTCGCAACATCACCAGTTCTTTATTTCGTTCTTCTTCGAGTCTTGCAATAATCAACTTTTTATTTTCATTTGCTTGATTAAACATTTCATTCGTATAATACATGTGAAGGGATCCAAGTGAATTTACGATTAAATAAATGATGTTTTTAACAGACTTCTGAAACGTTCTGTCGCGTTGGTCACCAAGAACTGCGTATCGATTATCGCTTTCCTTGACGACTTTTTGTAATCCGGCTGGTGCTGTTTCCAGATACTTCTCTATAGACATACCACTCAACTTGAATCCGTGCGTAAACACTACCAGAGCAAAATTCATTAATTCGACACCAAATTCCTTTTTTAGCATTTCAACCACTTTGAGTTCCTCATCTGTAAATCTTCCAATTTGTATAACAATGACGAAGAAATGTGGCCCTGGTAAGGATAAAGATATACATCTCGCCAATTCACCACATGTTTCCTTTTCAGACATTCTATTATCCTTTAAACCAGGAGTATCTATAACCTTCAGAATATATTTGTGGGATCTTGATTTGATTTTTCGTTTACCAGAGGCACAGAAAGTTGTGACTGACTCAGCTGTAACGGACGATTTAAATAGCTCGCGTCCCATCAGAGCGTTTCCCAGGTAACTTTTACCAGCTCCAGTCTTGCCTATCAATATAACTCTTATTTCTTCCAACTCTTCCTCTGATTTATCTGAAAAGAAGGATAACCATCAACAGGTGTAGAATATATAAATACATACCCCTTGGTAATTTTTAATCTGATTAAGATGTCGATCTGAATGATTGATTCGTTTTTCTTATGGAGGTCTTACTACAAGTCTTAGTTCCAATCGTGTTATGCGAAATAAAGATCAAGATAAAAACCAAGATAAAAAAATTGTCCTAATTCCATAACCAACCCAAATCACTTCTTAAAGTAGTCAGAAGATACAAATTAATGCTTAAAAATGATTAACCAAAAATTCTTGATATACAGGAAATAAGTCTTGTGTTGACCAAATGACCCAGAACGCAATTATCTCTTCAGATCATAAAATGAAAAGTGGAATCACCTACAGAAAACTACGAAATGTAACATCCAGATCCTCCAAACCAGGCCCCCGTTCGTCATACTTCGTCGTAACCGTGGAAATACAAGTGAAAAAATTACGTGTTCAAAGATAAATATTGTCCAATCAAAAGTTCAAGGGACGTAACTGTCATTGCTGCTAAATAATATAAATAAAATAGGGAGGCTTACCAATACTATTCTGATGACAAGTTTAACATTGATCGTTAAGCAAAAACATCCGCGATGATAGCAGAGACATATGTCTTATATTTTTCAATTAGTTCATGACAGTGGCCGTAAAATTTATTAAGGGAGGTTTGGGGCGATAAGGTAAATTGCCTTGTATTAAATAGATGTTAAATGCTTCGATCTAGCTAAGAAATCAGCATAGAAAGAAAATGCTCTACAGTATCGAACCAATTGAGTCACGTATACTCCATAAGTTGGCGAATAGGAAAATTGACGATTGGAAAATCAAAATAATCACGCTTATCACATAATTTTAAAACTAATTCTGTATTTTTTGTCATATTCATGACGCAGATCAAAATAGGATGCGTCATTTTCGTCATCGGTTGTGTTTTTAATTTCTCATTCATCAGGATATATGGAATCTAAATATCCACTAAATTTAGGATTATTTTATTTATGTGGGCTAATGAAGATTGGCTAAGCCTCGCAGGGAAATTTTGCCAGGACAGCGGCATAAGCCTGCTCTTTTTCGATTTCGAACTGTCGAGGGATCTTTAACGTGCACAGCCTGTAGCACGCAGGGCCTCGGTTTATTGTCCCACCCGAACGACTAAACGCTTTATCCGTGTCCCTCTTACCTGCATCACTGCCTGGGGAAAACCGCTTTTAAATACACGAAAGTATTATCTCGACTTATGCCGGGATTGAACCCTGAACCTTCAGGTTAGCGAGCATCGTAATTAAAAACGATTAGCTAATTGTTGTTATTTTTTAAGAATGCTTGCCTTTTTTTTTTATTATTTCCCATAAGCTTCATCCGTTAGTGATAAAAAAATCCCAATTTCACTAAGTTTCGTCAAAATCCGTCAAGAATTGTGCCTTGACGAGCGCCGTACATGGACGTAGATCCATGCGAAGATGACGCCAATTCCAAGAGTGCGTTAAAAAATAAAATGCGTAACATATGTTCATTAGTCAAGTCACTATTTTTTTGTTTGTACGTGCCTAGTTGTCATGTGTGTTGTGTATGTTAAGCAGCTATGATGGTTGCGGCGCCAGGCAGGGCTTACTCTTGTAGACATCTGATACTTCTTTTCATAATGAAATACTTACTAACTTGATATACTTCTTCATGTGAAAAGGTCATTAGCTGCTTATATTTGGATTGGATTTCGGGTTTCGTTTTGCGGTTCGGATCGTTAGTACTTGGTTTATTTATTACTACTCTTTGAAATTTGTTCAGAACCACAAATTAACTGTATTTTGATCTGCATAGTGCTCAATTCCTATAATCAGTATTACTTATAAGAATGAATCTGCAATCAGTATTACTTATAAGAATGAAGTCAAACCAAACCGACAGATGTAAAGGCGGTCCTAATCGCCTCGCCGGTGTTAACATTCTCCATGCTGGTAATACCGAATACATCATTATATCAGTAATATCTGCATAAGCAGAAAACACCGTAAAATTTAGGGCGTATTTATGATGGTTTGTTCGTTGTTTTTTCAACGGCCTGATGGGGCAGTTTCATTCTGATAAATGATACGACCAGCTTACAGAAAATACTCTCGTAGTATCAATTAAATGAGGATTGATTAAACGTATTACCTTGTTTTGGCGCTATTAGTGACCACACACGACGTACAAACGCTGTCGCCATCTCTGACAGCCTGTAAATATTATTAAAATAGTAACAAATTTCAACAAATGACCCAGTCTCTATTTAACATATATTACTATGATTGTTGAAATTGTTACATATTGAAATTGAGCAGAACAATCACAGTTAGTAATTCGGTTTCATATGATAATTATTGTGGTCCCAGTTTGTTATCGAAATGTCAATTCTTTTTTTTTTCGATTTTTACACACCTTCCTGAGCTTAGACTACAATAGTTGCAGCAACCTTTCAACGTTCACGAACCTTAGATATAGGCGACGATGTGCATAAATATATTTTGGATCTTTTTTGCAAAACCGGAAGTGCCACAGTTCAATATGTGCAAGAATAGATAATCGGCTCTAGAAGTCGTATTTTTGGGTTGATTTTCTTTGGGTTTGCATTTTTGGAATCTACTGTTAAAATCTGAAAGAATAGTCGTTTCAAAATTTCAAAATTCGAAAATTTGTGGCAGACATTTTTTTGCCAAATTTTGCATTTTTTTCATTTTTTTTGCTTTTTGTCTGATTAATCTGAAAAAAAATTGAGCAAAGACAGTTTAAGAAAGTAAACAAAACGGTACAGTCAAATTTTCAATTTCACTTCCGGTTTAAACAGGAAATCGATGTTCACTTCCGGTTGAATATCTTCCGGTGTAATTTGTATAGGACAAAAAAATTTATGCTGATAGATAGACAAAGTTATGACAAAAAAACGAAGATAAAAAAATCCGGAACAGACGTGAAACTTTGGCCGCCATTTTGATTTCCCTGAAACTCTTCGACTTTTATTCAGCCAATTTGGCTGAACCGAATTTCAAAATTTTGGTGTCAAATGAAAGAACATAAAAATTAAGAGAGATCGCAGGAAGCCGATTTTTGAATTTCGATTTTGCTTTTTTGCAATTTGCGATTGAATTTTTTCAATATTTGATGGCGTATATCTCGTGACCTTGACCTTTGATGACCTTGACCTTTATAGGGTCAAAGGTCATTGACCTTGGCTATCATTTGATACTTTGACCTTTGACCTCCGACATGTACTTCCGGTTTTATAGCTATCCGTAAAAAGCAAAATTCGCAACTTTGGACTGCTCTAGCACGTGACCTAATTAACCTAGAGGGTTAATTTTTTCGGTTTTCTAATGTGCTTCTCATGCACTTTACATAGATATAGAACAATTGCTTTTTTAAAGCAAAATTGAAATTCGTGATTTTTTCAAATTTGAGTTTAGTTTTACCATATTTGTGTCTTTTTGATCTTCGTGTATGTATATCTTATGACCTATTCTATGAG